GACCTGAGCGTTTCAAAGTGATTGAAAAGACAGGAAGCGACACTATTGTTTCAAACGAGGAGGGTGTGAAATATCGTCGACCAGTCGCACACCTAAGAAAGTGGCCTATTCAAAGAAATACATCTACGGATTCATCTACAAGACCCCAGGATTCTTCAAAAGATACCGATCAACGATTGAAACCTGACTCGTCTTCTCAGATTGCAGGAGCTAAACGTATGTCAAGAGAGCATCACGCAACAGGATCCCATAAGTACCAAGAAAACTCCCAAGCATTACAGTCCGTAAATTGATTTGTTGTTTCTTTGTAAGGATTATTTGGATAATAAAAGTTATGATCCGTTCAATTTGTCTGATACACTTATACATATTTTTGAGTATGGGGAGGAGAAAGGATGTAGAGTTATGATGTACGATATGAACCCATAGATACAACCCTGATAAGTATGAATGTATTAATGTTGCCTTACCAAGTACAAGACTGGTGAGTATTAGAAACCGAGCATCAGTGAGGGGGATTGATATACAGATAGTCGTGAAGAGTGGACGTACTGCGGATTTGGTCGGTGAAATAAAACCCCTGAAGAGGACTTTACACCGTCTACAACCGGATGGTCCGGTTCGCCTCTGGAGCATACGTTACCAGCCCGATTCCAGCGATTATGGCTGAAGCGGGCATCTTACCGTTTGACCTCCAGGTTCTTCAGGCTTAAGGTCGTGTTGCCATTCGTATGCCAGAGAAGGAGCACAGAAATGACAACCTTCCTGTTGTACAACGAGCAGCCGATCGTCTTATGATGGTCTCCCAAACATCGCAGAGCGCACGCGTTTCACCAACTGAAGTTGGCATTAATCCAAGCCAAGTATTGTATGGGACGTAAAACGGCAGGTGAAAACTGGAACTCCCACGGATACAGTGCGTCCCATTGTGCAGGAATTACTTTGACACCGGATTGGTTGTCTACACTGACGGATCAAAGTGTGACAACGCAGTAGGTGCAGGAGTATTCTGTGGCCTTTGCTATCAAATCGGCTCTCAACACGGGTATATCTAACGAATTGGTCATCTTGTCCGACTCGGAAAGTTGCGTTTTGGCCATTGAAAGCGGAAAATCACAGCATTCCTGGATCCAAGAGATCGAAAGGGTGATACCAAACCGCCCGATACAACTTTGTTGGATTCCCGGCCACGCCGGCATTCGTGGCAACGAAGAAGCAGATTGACTCGCCCGCGAAGCGCGCAACAGTACGCCACCCAACGTTGCCATCCCGAGAAAGGATGCAATCAAGGCAATGAACAAAGACACCAGACAATTCGTCTGCTATGGGAAGAACGCTGGGCGCAATTTACGGAATTCAAGTTGAAGGAGGTTAAACGTGAAGGCATTGGCCATACAAGGCTTACACACGAGTTTTTGCTGAAAAATCAACACCGCCGGTTTGCGAATGCTGTGGGACTGTCGTGGATGTCCGCAAAGTGATTTTGCACTGCAGAAAGTTTGAAACAGCCAGAGTAAAATACGATATTGATTCAACTAAGTGTACCCCATTAGGCATTAATACGTTAGGCATACGGACGTTAGGCATACGGACGTTAGGCATACAGACGTTAGGCATACAGACGTTAGGCATAATGGACGTTAGGCATAAAGTCATTAGGCATAATGGACGTTAGGCATAATATACGTTAGGCATAATGGACGTTAGGCATAAAATACCTTGCTGCTGTGCAACTCTTGAAACCTGTTTCGAGCATGGTAAACAATGCTTAAATTAGGCTAAGCGTTGAATAAAAATATGATACAAGTTAAACAAACCTAGTTTATTTAATAAGCACAGTTTGGAATCCATTATTAATCATATCATAAGTGACGTAGCTACATATTTACTTAGATCCAAAATTAGTAGCGATAGCGGTTAAGTAGTCTGGCAATGAAAACTCAGCATAGTTTTGAATCTTGAAATCAATTACGTCTAGAAATAAAAAAAAATCACACATTTGTTGTAAAATATTCTTACACACATATTGCAATTGTCAAAGAAGAAAAGGTTTTCCTCAAAGAACAGCTCATGGTAAAAAGAATGGTGAATTCTGTGATTTTTCATTCAATAACAAAAAAACAGCTAAGGTTGAATAAAATATGATGCCAAAGAACAGCTCATGAAAAATGAAGAATGGTAAATTCTGTGGTTTTTAATTCAATAACAAAAATATATACCTGCTGCTTCCAGGATTTCCTGCCATACTTTTCGATACAACGATTCTGTTTTTGTTGTCATCAGAATAAAAACTAGCGGAACCGTCTGCTGATGTAAAGGAGCGATACTTCCATGAACAGTGACGAGTTTCCGAAACAACAAACAAGGAACTGTGGCAAACGTAGCATCTGTAACCCAATACTTTGCCTGTCCAAGACGTCACAAGTTTTCATGAGTTCCAAAAATTAAGGCTCTTTCATTATTGTCACCGAAGTCAGCAATCAATAGAACGTCCCCATTATCATCCTTCTGGAATTCATCGGGTAGATTATGCCTAATGGACGTTAGGCATTATGCCTATCGTCCGTATGCCTAACGTCCGTATGCCTAACGTCCGTATGCCTAACGACCGTATGTCTAACGTCCGTATGCCTAACAACCGTATGCCTAACGTCGTGTACCCGATTCAACCAGCCTACATGCGCGTTATGCAACGACGATGACAAGGAAAAGCAGTTGCTGAAGTTTCTGCAGGAAGTCAATATGTATCGAAAAATCTACAGGAAAAAAACAGGAAGTGAGAAGATGATGAAGAGGAAACAGAATAGGACGGAACGGATGAAACGTGGTTAAGAAGACGGAAGAAGATGAAAAGGATAACAGCATGGAAGCAAGAAGAGGGCAAAAGAAAATGTATAAACTGAGAAGATGATGGAGAGGAAACAGAAGAAGACCGAGCAGAAGAAGATTAATGGAAATGTAACTGAACGAAATTGAAAGAAAAAAGGTAATGACGGTGTTCTGGTACATACATGTTTCCCATAAATTTTAAATTTGAAGTTTTTGAAACTCTGCACTTGTTATGTTATGTTATAAAACTTCAATAAATTTTCAAGAATCTGGAGTCAAATTTCTTGCACAGTTTTAAAGGCTCATGGAATGTTACTATAAAATTTCTAGCGACCTCATTCCAAGGGAGTTCTGGGAATAAATGTTTTGAGAAAACCATCAAGTGTAATCTGCTTTCAAACGTTTCATGTGAAGCCTAAGATAGTTTTGAGTAGAAGTTAAAGTAAACGCTGAATTGAATTTAAAGAAAATTTTAATAAAAACTCATAGTAATTTCTCAGGAGCAGAACTGCTGTGAACTTCAGAGGAAAATTTCAACGGCATTCTGAGGATAATGACATTAAGTTTGTAGGAGAAACCGAATCCGGGGCATAAATCCCTGGAAGGTTTAGAAGAATACTTAGTGAGCGAGGGGGATGCTAAAAGGAGGATTACAATTAAATCTGAAAATAACTCCAAAAGATCTTCAAAGGAATGCTGAAAAGAATTCCAGGAGAGTATTATGTAGTAGTATGAGGAGAAAGAAGAAATTTGTGAGGAGAAGTGAAAATGAATTCTAAGGAGACTTTCAATGTGAGTAGAATTCCAAGGGAAGGAGTGAGATTCAAAAGGACATCTGAAATGAATTCAATAAATGAGCGTAAGTGAATCCAAGGCCGATAGTAAAGTAGGGGTTATGACTGACTCGTCACATGCAGGCTACATGATCGCCATGGGAAGGGATGATAATTAGAATGAGGTGGGTGGTTGAAAATTGTTCGGATCGAGTTGGCCACGATGCTACAAAATGATATGGAATATGATAGCTGGAAATCATTTGAAATTTCTAATGAGTTATTTAATTAGATATATAAATTCATTATTGAGAGTTCTGTTCTGCTTTGAATCAATAATTATATAATGATGCTTTCATATAAATCCGGCTCAGAAAGGAAGAGGAATGAAGTTTCCCATGAATTTAAAACACTTTTTTTTTCGAAAATTATTCCAACATAAAATGATCCTATTTTGGGAAAAATTCTATAAAATTCATTGCCAAACAAACTCGAAGTGGTAAGAGAAGAGGGGAGGTGATAACATGCACGGCCAATCATACCAACTCAGCGACTGAGATTAATTGCCTCAGAGAATTTTCTTTCCATACGAAATTTACTCAGATTTGGAATAAACTGCAGTTACTCACAAGCTATGAGTAACTGCAGTTTATTCCACATCTGAGTAAATTTCGTATGGAAAGAAAATTCTCTGAGTTAATTAATCTCAGTCGCTGAGTTGGTATGATTGGCCGTGCGTCGTTACTTTCAAGGGGGTAGCCAAGAAATTGTGACCATATTTGTCAGACGGAGGAGATTTAATTATGGGCAAATTTTGCGTGACATAATTAATTAACGCTCCCATAGAGAGCTTTCTATGCCAACCAACGCCTTCATTTGTGTATTGTGTGGCAAGCACATTGACACCAGGGTTGCTTCCACTCACTGGCTATAAAAAAAAAATTTAGATGTTATAATGATAATAAGTACTTGTAAGTTACAACAAAAGGTTGTAAACTAGGTGTTTAACACAGAAAACCTGTCATTATTGCTTTTAGTGCGTCACAATCAGCGATTATACGATTCGTGAGCGCTCACTCTGAGTGAACGCTCGCGAGTCCTAAACGCACTGAAAGCGAAATTGACAGGTTTTATTTTTCAAATTCCATACTTTCCAACCTCTTCTTGTTTCTGACAAGTACAAACTATCATAATAGCATCCAATGATTCCATAATTCTGAAAAACATTTTTTTATAACGAAGTGAGTGGAAGTAACCCGATTGACACTCTATCACCGACGAAACTCCATACCAAGGGAAGTCGAGATCATTTCCAACCCGAAAGATGTTCTTGACCGGACTGGGAATTGAGCCAATTCTAAGACTAAAAAATGAAAAAAAATATATTTCCCCACTCACCTCATCGTATCGCAGATCCGGTTCACTGTACGTTCCCTCCAGAATTTTGAATCCACTCAACCGCCGCTCCTGCTTCTTGGTCGTCTTATCACACACTTCTGCCGCACTACTAATCACCACACCACTACCACTGTCCTCGTGCTGCTTCGAACTACTTCTCAGTTCCTGCAGGCTACCCCAGATGGCGGAGAAGCCACCACTGAGCCTCTTTGTTGGCCGACTTCTTCTCTCACCACCCCCGCCGTGTTCATCTTTCCCTTCCTTGCTCGACTTGCGGACATCGCCCGTCGAGGTGGAAATATTCTCGAAGCTCATCGAAATCGGTCGCGCCAATCCAAACACCTTCGGGCTGAGCTTGTACGACATCAGCTGCGAGGATCGATTAGAAGAGGACCCAACGGATGCGTCGTCCGCTGTAGCGCTTTGTCTGTTACTGCCACCGCCGCCGTTTTTGTGGGAACATGCTTTCTTTGAGCGTTTGACCGGTTTTGCTGGCTGCAGGAAGATATGTTCGTCCTCCGCCGGTAAGGATGATTTTTTTGGCACCAACGTAAGATCGTCAACGGAGAGCGGATCCTTCGAGTCGAAGATTTCCTTTTCGAGAGACATGATCACATCGTCGCATGATCGAGCCGCCAACATACTATTTTTGACGTTGTCCGTGTTGTAGCGTTCTAGGTCGAGGAAAACTTCTTCCAGCTTGGGAACATCAATCGGTCGTTCCTGGACGACATTACCCAGTTCGTCAATGGTCTTTCCAGATGTCCATCCGTCGTTCAATATGGGAATCTCCGGATAGACTGGCTCATATTTGAGCGGTTGTTGGTCGTTAAAATTGTTGAGGGCATTGTCTTTTCTCGGAGAGCGATCGGACGTGAAGGCTTTTGGATCCGGACGTGCTCGAACGGTGAGGCGATCGATGCCGGAACTAGATGGATAGCTATAGTCAGCGGATTTCGATTTTCCATGGTAGATTTGAAGTCCAAAATGATCGACACCTACGGTAGAGCGTATGTTCCGGATAGGATCGAGTTTCGGAGGAAGTTCATGTATAATTCCCGTTGGACGACTGGGTAGAGCACCAAATGGGACAGATTTGCGAAAATGTGCTCGTACATTACCAATTTGATGGTTTGGAATGCCCGGGAAATCCACCACAAGGATTCGATCGGAAATGTTACGACAATCGTTGTGGAAACCTATACCGGAGTCTGAATTGCTCGAAGTTGTCGTAATTTCGCTATGATTACTGGGTTGTGGAGAATTGGAGACCAGCAAATCGTGAGGATCATCAATGGCTCGCGGATTCAGCCGTGGGTCGTTGAGACCTCGATGATAGGCACGAGGTGGATGATCTAGGTTTAAGCTTCTGGCAACTGGCGGTTTGCCGTACGGTACACCTTCCGGTTTGATCGGAGCCTTGAGGTTGTACATACTACGAATAAGGTTGACCACATATTCCGAGTTACTGGGGAATTCCAAGCAGATGTTCGTGATGGGATCTTTTGTGCAGATTATCTTGAAAAGCTCGGCCTTTTCCAAGTGGATAGGGTGTTCCACCAGCTTCGAGTCTATCACAAAAACGTGACAACTGTTGGAAATGACAACATCTTTCCTCTGATTCAATATATCGGAATTTTCACACATCAACCCATCGGCATAGATCGCAGATGTTACGAGACCAAAATATCGATTATCGTTTTCGCTACTGCTGCTCACATAGTTTAATCGAACTGACGAGTATTTTGCAATCACTGCGTTACTTGTATTGATCAAGTTCAGGCAGGATGGAAGAATGGTCATGAGGACGGTCGTTGGATTGCGTTTTTCCTGTCTCATCTTTCTGATGCAACTTCTCACCGTTTGCAACTTAGAGCTAGTAGCTATTTGCTTGGGCATTTCGATTGTTCCGAGGTATCCAACAATGGCTTTATACTCCAGCGACATTTCCTGTCCTTCGCGTGGCTGAGACGGCCCTGCTGTTGGTTCATTTTCTTGGCCCAGCTGAACCGAACGGACCATTGCACTGACGTTCGATATATCACAGCTATTACTCGCATTTGGGCTATGAATTACGTTGTAGGCCGTTGCTGGGGAATCATTGACCACTATGGCGGTGGCACTTTCACAGGTTCCCACCAAATCGGCCTGAGGAATGTTGGACTGTTTCCCAACGGTAGTTGTTCGATTGAATTTCGTCTTGTGATGAGGATACTTTGGCCGGGCTCGTTGTTGACTGCTATGAAACATAATATCCTCATCCGAACTATCCGAGTAGTAGTTCTCCGCTATTGCCATCTTGATCGCTCCGTACGTGTTGCCAATCAACTGCACCACGGCTTCGTGTGGCAACTTGGACACATTCAACCCGTTGACCGAAATCAGGAAATCTCCAGCTCGTAAACCAGCCAGGTCCGCTGGCGAATTTGCTACAATGCAGGAGAGTATGCATGGTTGCTGACCGGAAATTGTAAATCCAAACCCGTTCAACCCTCGATTGACCTCCACTGTCCGGATACCATAACTGGGACGTTTTTTTCTTCTCCTATGGCCGTTCATATCGATTGTGTGTTCCCGATCAATCTCTAAAACCTTAAAAACCAAACTGTTTAGTAGCTATCCTTTTCAAATCGAGGAAAATTGGAAAATTGTAACGATGTCAAACTCATTTCACCCCACTCAATACGGTTTCTTGCCTTCCTCCTCGGGTGATCCACCGATCGTTCAATTATACTGCTGCTACTGCTGTTAACCACTGCGCTCCGATGGATGTGTCTGCATTCCTTTCCACTATTTACCACGCATACACATGTACAAAGTCTTTAACTAGAAAGCTGTCATTATCCCCGTCCGTGCTCAAGTTCAACAATCTCCGGCCAAAGTTTCACTTCATCGGCCACCGATTCCAATAACACTGTCTATGTTATCCTTCAGGATTCCTATTTTCTTCCAGGAATATCCAATATTATACACAGCACTTTCCAATGTTTTTTTTTTTCTTACTTGAACACGCACACACAGGTCGAAGAATTTTATGCTGCTGCTCTCATCTCGCGATATTCATGAAATTGATGCTGCGGACCCGTTCCTTGCTGCAGGCGAATTGAAGTCACTCGACTCTTTCTCTTCTCTCGTCTTCGGACGGAATTTTTCAATTTTGCAATCGACTTTTTCCACCGCAAATCCGTTCGAATTTCACCGAATTTTACCGAAACGATTAACTTTACATCACAATCAAACACCTAATACTATTTTCCGAGGGAAATTCTACTCCACAATTGAAAAATTTATCACCATAAATCGCGCGACATAAACACAGCCAACAGGGTCGAGATTTTTTGTGGTTGGTGGTTTCTTCTTTTTTCTTAGCATAATCCTCCTTCACTTTTCTTGCAAGTCTTGGCATTCTTCGCTTTGCTACATTTTTCATCGCTGTTTTGCTTTTTGGCCGTTTTCTTTTGCTCAAGCCGTTTGAGTGTTTTGACGTTTTGTTCCTTTTTTTATTTAAATGAATGAAGCGCGTTCACGGTTTTTATATGCACAGGTACACGGAACGAAAAAAAGTACCTAATATTGAATATCAATACAATATAAACATATAGAGATTAGTGAGTTTAACGCACGCACATTAGCGGGTGCATCGCCGTGTAAAGTTGTTTATTGTTTTCTTCTGCCAAAAAAAAATGTATGAAATTAGATCTGTCAAAATGAGTTTGACATCGATTTGTTGTGTATTTTCCTCGGATTTTCACTAACACGCTCTCACATATCACATCAATACAGCTGAACGCTAGGCTGTACGTGGAAATCTCTATTCAGGTATACCAACAATCAATACGAAACTAACGATTTTAAATTGGCTCACTACACTGAAACAAATCGACATGTACCGTTTTATTGGATCCATCCTATAACATAGCAATGTCAGCAGATTTATTCATTTTATGTGATGATTGATAGATTCCATTGGATTATCGCTTAAGGGGCGAGTACACTTTGATTTTTTTTTTTTTAATGCATTTTTTTTTTGGCTTAAAATGTTCCTTGGGATGTATACTTTAATTTAGAAAAGACTCCAAGTCCGCCAGAATATTCCTTCCCACTTTACGAAGCGATTTCCTAAAACATGTACTGGCACGCTGCGAGAACAATTTTATCTTTAAACGCGTTTATCACGAAACGGGGTTTTTCAAACTGGCGTGGGAAATAACTCTAACCAGTTATCATCAAATTTGGATATCACCTAGGTTTGCTTGTTCAGAATTAAATTTTGCTTAGAAATACGTATCCACATTTTCGATTTTGTCAAAAATGGATTTTTAATCCACGATTTTGTAAGCATTTTTAGGGTGAAAAAATGGACTTTTTTTTCCTAAGGCCACAACTTTTGAAAAAATTAATTTAAAAAAAATCGGAATACGTATTTCTAACCCAAATTTCATTACTAATCAGGATTTTTGTTCGATTTATGTTCCAGGATCACATGGAAAGGAGTATTTTCCCACGCCGTTTTCCGACTTCCGCGCGAGGACGCCCGCGCGACCTGGTGCGATGATAGCAAAGCTACTGTTTTAGTAACGGAAACAGCGACGATACTGGATAAACAGCAGAAATTAATCGATACTGCCGGTAAGTTCTGTCATTTTCAGACTAGAATGAATCTACTTACTCCGTAACGGAGCTTACGCAGAAATTCGCAATGTGGTAGAGCTCACCAAAAGTTTTTTTGACCTTCTGTACGGTACGGTAATCTTGAAATGATTGATACGTGCGGTAAAATAACTAAATTGGAACAAAGCTCAACGGTAAAATAAGTAGAATATTTAGGGAGGAAACCAAAATTAATCAACTTGCCAGCATAGGCTATCACATTTATTTTGGTGGCACTCTTTAAGTGATAATAGCATAGAGGTAACTCTAAGACTAGAAGGTCCCGAAATAACGTGCTCAACTTTTTGACTCAGCTCTGGTACTTTCTTCGGTCCCAAGCTAATCGATTCACCCCTCGAAACATAGGAAAAACCAATCACCCCTCATTTTATCTGTCAAACTTTCATAGCGAATCAAAACAAACATTGTGTAGTAGTAGAATTTCGACTAGAATGGGATACGTTAATCGTTTGCTTGGGTCCAATAGGCTAGTCAAGTAGTGAGCCAATTTGAAATCGTTAGTTTCGTATTGATTGTTGATATAGCTAACAACAATGATACCAACAATCAATACGAAACTATCGATTTAAAATTGGCTCACTACTTGACTACCCAAGTAACAATTTCCAGTTGAAGAAACGCTTTCGTTTTGATTTTGTTCAGCTGCATGTTGAATAATAATTGCACAATGTGTTCACCACAACTTTTATAAAACCCTTGTTTACACTGGTTTGGAGAACCTATACAACTGCAACACAAAGGTGTTGTCTAACGTATTCAGTAAAACGTTTACCCAAAATCAATTTCTTGTTGAAGAAACGCTTCCATTGTGATTTTATTCAACTTCATGCTGAATAATAACTGTACAATTTGTTTATTACAACTTCTGTAAAACTCTTGTTTACACTGGTTTGGAGAACCTGTTCAACTACAGCATTACATATATACGCGGTATAGGAGTAGAAGCAACTTTTATACAACGTTTATAGATACATATTTAAACTCAAGCTTTATTATTTCGATGAAAGCTCTTATACAACGTTTGTAGACACTTCTTGACAGCTGCTTTGAAATTTAGTAGAGAGTAAACCTGAGAGGTGTTTGTTACACTCTTTTATGACTCCTAAATAATCATTGTACAGCAAGCGGTTGTAGAATCACCCGATGCCTCTTGGTTCGTTCTGCTTCAACCAGCTACTGTCGTCCACCTCCAGTGATATTCGTATCGCAACTAACTCGATATCGCTTGTGATCATCCTCTCGTTCCTAAGTTCGCCAATACTACTAGACGAATACAGGGATGTATTCTAGCCCAACCATACAGAGGCGTACCTCTGCATAACGTATAATATTACTGAACTCTACATCCCTTCTCCACTCCAACCAAACAAAGCAAGCTCCGAAATACTCCAACAATCAAGACCATAACATTCTAGATCAATTCTACCAGGTGATTTTGTTTTTTTAGGAGAAGATAAAACCTACTTATGTTTTATTTTGTATGAGCTTCTCATCATTCAGGAGTGTTGTATTATTGATGGGATTAACAACCTCATAAATAATTTTTGTTAATAGATTGAACACATTAAAATAATGGACGGTTTCTATTCGATATGATGGAAATGGGCACTGATGCCGTAGCTGTGCTCTTCCCTATTAAGACTGTTAATCGACTTTTACCGCATTATTTCTTACGTTGGAAAAATTAAGTCACTTTTCCAATACGAAGAGCACCCCAAGGAGCACACGTGCACCGTAACAAGTTTCATATAAGTAACCGCAACTGTTCAGCGACAAGTGTGCTGCTCGGGATACTTCTTTCTGCTCTCCCTGGCTTTCACGCTCTCACACAAGTTTACTCCTGCAATCAAGTACGTGTTCTATGGAGCCCTTCCTTAGCTATTTATGCCAACCAAAGATCAGCAACACTAATGTCATCCAGACATTTATAAAATGTGCAAGATCACATCCTAAATTGAACTTATTGCTAAGAGTTAGACCATAGAGCCTTATTCCTATGTCATACCAAAAAGATTAAGAATCAGGTCTTCTAATTGGGTTGTTTAACTTCGAAAAATATATCGATTTTTATACATCATCTGATAGAGCTTTGTTTTCTGAGACAACGATATTTTTATCGATCCCGTAGACATTCATCTCGATTTTTAAATCAATATTTAAATTTTTTTTAACGTTGACACTAAATCTATTCGTTGACAGCTCGCTCCTATACAAAGTTCCACCAAGGGGCGCTAAGATGGTGATTTTTGCTAATGTAATCGTACTTATTTAAAATAGTTCCAGTGTACCAAAAGTGATGAAATTTTGGATTTCGATTCCATTTTTTTTTATTGACGTTGGCCTCAGCTCCGCAATCAAGTGCCGCCGACGGGCATCGATTGACTTCCCTTGACGACCATTGAATTCCATGGGGCTGCTTTCACACCTGGGTAGATATCGCACCCGTCACTATATGGACCAGGACCAACGACTTTACTTCTCTGTCAAAGGAAGACGTTATCAGACACATCACACAAAAACCCAAAGATCTCGAAAGACATTGAAAGCATTCACACTGGGATAAGAAGCAGTCACGTTTATCACTACACCACGGACGCCGTTTTCATACTGTCTCAGAAAGTTTCTCATTGTGTTATGGTTCATCATTTAGATTAGTGTTCGATTCTCAGTCCATCCAACAACAACGGCATCTGTGTGCGTGCTTGGAAATATTATCCGTAGGTCTGCAGTTGTACTCGGTGTTTTAAATCAGTACTTGATCTCAAATAAAAATCTACAAACACACGTGTTGAATAGTTTTCTTCAGAAAACTGACTTGCAACCATGTTTTTTTATGCTATCATCTGCCCTGTCCTTTTGCTTCAAACATGATTTTCCATCCTTTTCCACCATCCATACGTCATGCGGGCAGAATTTAAATAAGGCCCGCGATGTTTCCTACGATCAAACGTATAGGATTGATATAGGGATGCTAGTCCCCTGGTTTCCTGTTCTATGCTTCATATTTCTCTGGACCAGAATTATCTGTGTTTATAGCATGCACCGAAATTTTGTTAAACGTCGCTTCACTCACATATTCTAGCTCTAAAGCTTAAAAGCTACTGAATTCTTCTAAATCCTGGTCTCACAAATCATAATCTTTCTATCCGGAGATGAACCATCTTACGGCTGAAAATCTCTTAAATAAAGGAAATCGATCAATCAATCAATTGATCATACTATTTCCTCTCACTTCGTTTGTTTTCTTTTTTTGTCTATTAAAATCCAATTTCCTAAAATCAGTTGCTTTCTGGTCTATCAGATAGTCCCCAATAATTTGCACTATGATCTGCAACAACTGATCTGGCTTATTCACTAATTTCACTACGAATCAACAATAATGCACTTCAGCATTTTACTGTGCCTTATTTTTATCAAGCGATTTATTTCATTGCGCTCGCTCTCGCACTTCAACCCACATACAGCGGGCTAGTCGCCCACGGCTCGCCCCCGGACCGCTCGGCGGACGGGGCGGACTTGGGCGACTCGAACCTCGCGGCGCCGCTTGGTCCAATTTTGGTCGCCGGCGCGCCGGGGGCGACCATATTTGCAACATTTGGGCGCCTGAGGCGAAAACGATACCTGTCAAAAAACTGATCGTTTCGGCCATTTTGTCCGCC